GCTTAATCACGAACAGTCTACCAATTTAAAGGCCCAGGGAACTTTCATAGACATGAGTCCCTGGAGATATCATTTAGTTCGGCCTACTCTTTCTTATGGAATGGAATTTTCGTTGGAACAAAGGTTCCTGAATGATTCTGAATCGCTACCTCTTCCTGTGGTTTCACTTTTTGAAGGAAATTTGTTGTGTTAAGGATCGCCTCTGAATGGGAACGGATAGAGGCAATGTGGAAGAAGGGAAGGACGGAAGTGGTGGGCACTACGACTACCGAGGAACTGCTCGTAAGTGAAAGGCTATGTGGATTTGATGTATCACCGCTAATTCGTACATTTTAGATTATCGAGCAGTGGCTTAAACATGCAGAGCGTCGAGTGAAGGCTGTGAATGAGACTGGCTTTAAAATACTTCTTGAGGAGGGCAATGTGCGTGTTTCCATTTGTACTATTTGTAGCGCTGCGGGATTCGTATCCCCACTACTCGTTGTAATACGAGAGATTCCTACGATTCTTTTTTTTCTGCTACGTAGAACATGTCATGTGTTTCTAGGGTCACAAAGCTCGTCTGGTCGAACTCGGTTCCAGCAATGGAGTCGAGGATGGAGCTCGAATCACACATCTCTCAGGTCGTATCGAAGAGTTCCTGCACTATGTGAAGACAAGGATGAATCGATCGCAGCGAATTCAGGCGTTCTTCCAGTCTGCTCAGACGGTTAGCGCCATCATCCTCATCGTTCTCTTGCACTAGGTGATGTACTCATCAGCCGCCGTGTGTAGCTGTTTAAGCTGACGGAAATCAAACGGCCCAAGCGACTCGAGTAATTGAGAGTATCCTGCTTTTTCTGGCCCACCTATGGACATCCTGGGAAACTGTTATTCCATATGGGAGCTATGAGCTTACACTATCATTTGCGTGATGAGTTTTCTAAGCAGAAATTTAAATTTTTTTCGAGTCGCAATGGTTTTTGGCTTCTGTGGGCTTATGCCAATCTCCGTTTCTCATAAGATACCGCTCTTATACTTACCATGACCTCGTTGTCCAATTGCTACTGACAGAGGCAATCTAAGGAATTCTTTACAAGGTTACAATTTTGATATTCCTTTTTTTGATGGTCCAATTCACGATGAATGCATGTTCACACGAAAGAGAAAGAATATGGCGTAGCAATTGGGGAAACGTCTACGAGGAATTCACCCCCGAGTGTTTCTTTCCTACATATGAATTCCTCTGTTTCTATTCCTAACTCAACTACTCGATAAGCACGGGATTTTGGTATTTCCCCTATCTCTACACTGCCTTCAAAGCTTACCCTACCTTACCCTCGGGGTATCTTTTGAAAAAAAGCGACGAAACGAGGATCATGGTTTGTGGAAGCGATTCTGTTTGAGAAAAGCCATTTGTAGAGCAATTGCATGTAGATGGTTGCCAATCGCTTGAACTGATGTTGATTTGTGTTTTAGGCCGTGGCCTTAACACTGAGTGTGGTTGTGCTGTACCAGTTGTATAAGTGGAAATACTGGAGAAGTACGCTTCGTTGATTTTTCCAGTCCGTTTCTTTACACCACGTTTCAGTCGTTTCTGTGGGTGAAACACCGCCACCATCGCAATCTTCCGACTAATAGGACTTCTCAGTCTTGCCGACATCCACTTATTTTTGAAAGCACGGTGGTGGTACTACATGCCGCCACTATCACCATCAGCATTGCACTTTGTGGAAGAAATATCCCTGGGTGGAGGCGTACACGACTGTTTTATTCACACTGTGTGTGTGTGTTGTTCAGTTGGATTCCTCACTTGCAGAGGAAAGCGGGAAAGTTCGGAAGAACCCCGCAGTCGTGGTTTCTCCTCCTACATTGCAATACGCCTGCACTGATTGCACGTCTTGTGTGCTGTTGCTTTGGTTTTTCTCTAAATCGTTTTTCGAGATCCAGTGGCCTACTCTGGGATTAGTATAGGTTGCGGGTCTTCTCGCCTACTCGTCTGCTCGTTCATTTGATGTGATGCTTTCCAGTGTTGTACGGTTCTGTCTGTGATAAATCCCCTTCCTCTACTTTCTCCCATCGTTGAAACTTTCATTGAGTCACTTCCATTGCCTAACATACCCGTGTGCAACTTCACTTATCATTGTTTGCATGTTTTACTATGGTAACAACTTTTGTTAAAGTTATTAATGATCGAATGTGTTTGCTGATGTATGGATTGGCATGATTTTCTTTGATTTTCTCAATTATCTCGCAATCAACATTCATAAAGTAGATCTCAGGGGATTTCTAAGAGCAGCTCTGGGGAGCTTCCGAAGCCTTTCAGGCTGCACCTAAAGTACTGCCTTTGCGGAAAATGGGAAATAAGTGTTCTCAATTCCTGACATGCCAAAAGAACACGGCAGAGGTTTTTCCGAACGCCCACTTGAGCATACGAGCGTGGGGCATTCGCACTTGTACTGAGAAAACGCAGTTCACAATCTACGACTGCTGCATACTATAGAAGTCCCAGAAAGCAATAGCGGGAGTAGAACCATATTCTGGATTTGTAGCGAAGACTGATCTGAAGAATCCAGGCTTGTTATCCCACGCATGTGCCTTTCGAATTTATTTTCGAACTTTCGAATCGAATTTTTTAATTTATCTCGAAAATTTCGAATCCTACCGGAGTGAACAATATGAAAGTCCCCGTAAAATGTTTTGCTAACAGTGGTGTCACATCTTCGTGCTGCCTGTACCAGCTGCCATTCCAACCGAATTGTAGCTGCTACACCATGTCCTGACAAAAGCAAAGCTGACCTGCAAGCAGCTTCAAGCAAAAGGTATGGGATCGCTATCTATGCCTTTGCAGTTTCAGCTAGTAACAACGTAGTGCTTGTTGACTCCATTCTAACAGGAAACACCTTGGGAGGTGGAAGAAATTACATTCTGATTATTGGCTAGGGTTGATCAGAAGAATTTAATTTTTTGATGCTCATGCATGACTCTTTCGACATTTCCTGCCCAGATGAACAATATGAAAGTTCCTTTGAAGGTTCCCTGTAGAGGATTCTGCTAACAATGAGGGTCACGTCTCCAGTCATGTTGTCTGTATCAGCTGCCATTTCAGCGGAATTATGGCTGTCTTCCCGAGCCCTGGCAGAAGCGAAGTTGACATAAAGGTTCTTCTTGTTGTAATCTCTGCATAGATAGCGATCCCATACCTTTGAGCGAAAGTCCTTTGGCATTACAGTTCTGGCCAGTAACGTGCTTGATAGATCTGTTTCAAAAGGCAAGATGAACGGAAACACTTCGAGAGATGGAAGAAATATCGTACCGTGCCAAGAGTGAAAGATATCTAAACGAGACGGCAGTCCGTGATTTCATTTCGGGGGTGCCACTGGGTTATGCCATGGAATGTTGCCAAAATTTCAGTAATGCTCAAAATGAACGGAGCACCTATGAACTGATCAAGTCCCTTTAGGGCTGAAATTAGCTTTCTCTCGTTCTGATCAGTCGCCATGAACTCCACTTGAGATCGAAACGAAATGGGTTTCCTACTTCTCAAGCGATCTGGTCCTGGAAGTTCACTCTCCGTCAGCACTTCGGGATTACGGAGAATGCTTATAGAAAAAAGTTTATTTTCACTGCTATAGCATGGGAAGCTACTATCCAAGCATTGGTGACTAGCGGTTCTCGGGAATAAGTAGTACTCAGCAATTAATCGCTCTAGTCGCTACAACCAGCCGTTTTTGCAAAGCACAGGTGGTGATGGCTGCTACGGCTGCTTTCATTTGCGAAACCTCTCATGCTCATTGCGTGCAGGAACAACTTTTCCCTGATCTTTTTCTTGCCTTCTTAGAATGTTTACTACAGCGGCATATCTTTCGTTGTAGTTCCCTTCAGGAAATCGATTTGCACACTTTACACATTCGTCTTGTGTGGCCCCTCTATGAGAACGTGCCCTTAACACACCCACCCAGCTGACCCAGCTAATTTTGTCAGTCTGGGCTCTATTTTTCAGTAGAGATAGGAATGCTCGGGAGTAAGCCAACGATTCGCGGATGAATACGGTTAGGTCAGGATGCGATACCGCCTGAGGCGGTAGCACCGCCAAACCGTTAATACTGCTCATTTATAGTGACTCCTCTTTCAGACCGAACATGCGAAGGGGACGACGTCGCTCTTTGACCCAGCTGTATACATTCCAAGATCCCTTCAATTTAATGTCTTAACTGCGTAGCATTCCTAGAGACTGTCGTCTCAGCCCTAGAGATTGACGTACTCGTTTGGAAAAGGTAACTCCATATCACCCTATACAAGAATGTTGCGCCAACTAGCCGTCTAAATCTTTTAGTTATCGAGTCAGTCGATATGCCTGTACCTCTCCTGCTTGTGGATAGGTTACTTTTCGCTCTATTCCGCTCTACGGCTACCTCTCTTCCACCCCGTTCTGCTTGCAATTCATGTTTTCTGTACTTTCCTACATTCCTTCCCAGATGAGTGGCCTCGACAACCTATATGATGCTGGATGCGATCACCTCCTATACTGCTCCCACACTTATCATAAACCTCGCTGTGAGTGGACACTAACAAGCTTGACCGCTTGTGAGCCGCTTCAAAGCCGAAATTTATAGAGCCTCTGACGGTATGGGTTGGCGATGAAAGCCCATCAGTTCCATATGTTAGTATCAGACCAGAGTTGACCAGATGGACAGGCTCAGAATGTAGGACTCGCTTACTAGATCTTTTTTTTATTTAATTCTCAATTACTTCGTAGTAACGTCAAATTGACAGCATTGGTCTTAGAATTAACGCTGCTCGCTGCATATGCTTCCCAGATGCTCATCGCAAACGAAAGCGAGCGAGTGAGTAAGTCCGCAGCTAGGACTCAGGAAAAAAGGCAACAGCGCTCTCATTGAGAAATGTTTTCATACAAAAGCTCATGAGTGATGGGCCCCTCCTTGTGCCAAAAAAAGTGCATGAGTCATGCAGGTCAAGGATGAATGATATGTTGGAAAAATCACTGAAGCCGTGAAACGGTGGCATAAATATCTCAGGCCAATTGTCCACGAAAATCATTTCCTTCCCTCGATTCTGTACTCTCAGTAACGTCCGCTGCCTCACTGCCATCCACTGCCATTCCCTAGGTGTCGACTACTGTATGAAAATTTTAAGTAACATCAAAGCAATGAATTCTCTGAGTATTGGAGGTAGTCTCTTAAGCCCGGTCCGGAACCCAACAATGAACTATCGGGGACCATCGTGTCAACCTTTTCCACCATATCTGGACTCTCTGACTGAGAGAGTAGAAAATCAAGCGTGCTCCGGAAGTGGGCCATCGGTTGATACTAATACACTGGCAAATTGGTGATAACTGATGGCGAGATTGGAGAGGGCAGCAGTTGGTGAATGATGGAGATTCGCTAACTGAGGAAGCTTCTCCTTCATCAGTTGGGAAGGTGGCTGATCTTCCAACCAGCATTATCTGGCTGCCGCGCAGTAAAGAAGAGGAAGTTATCTCGAGAAAAATGCTACCAGTAATAATGGAGGAGGAGTACCTGTTGATAACGTTGTAGGAACCTTTTTCCTCGAATCTTTCTTTCCCACTCATTTTTCCGTGTTCCATCCCACGTTCACATATATTTTTCGGCTTTACACAGAATTATAGATGCTCTCGCAACTGGCAATGATGGAGGAAGATATGCGAAATGCAAACGCTGCAATGGCCGGCGAACTCTATCCACTTGCACAACAGAAGGCGACAACGGTTATACAGGAAGGCAGAGATATATCTGGTTAGTTGTGATTGTGGGGAAGATTCCTTCATTCTCAGGGAGACTAACGGAAGTTTTTCAGCAAAAGAGATTCTTACTTATGAGGAACAGGCTCTCGTTAGACAACGATGCGAAGAGATGGATAAGAAGTTGAAACTACTCGAAGAACTTGCCACTGAAATTCAAAATTCGACGCAAATTAGTCAAGAGGTGCTTCTAATATTTCTTGGCCCTCTTAATTTTCTATTTTTATGACAATTTTTTTTTCGAAAGAAGAAGTGCCCAGTGAGGTACATATGTACATAGGAGATGTGTAAATGCGGTGGGCAAATGTCGAAAAAGATTTTGATGGCATGAAAAGCTGAATTTGCGAAGAAAGTCAAAGAAACAAAGATTTTAGAGGTGGTTATATACAACTGAAGTCAAAGTCAAAAAGAAATTCCGAAGGAGATAAGCAAGGGAGAGGTTGGAAAAGTTGGTCTGCACGAAACTTTCTTTGTTGATGGCAATTTTGGTTACAAGCAGTTCACGATATTTCCGCCTTTTTTGTAGCAAAGAGACGAGCTGCTCAACTTGCTCAATTACAACAATAACCCTTAAAGTACTAGGGAATTATACCTCTTTTGGATGCTCAGGATCCACGATCCTTCAGATGTTACCCTACGTCAAGCTATCATCAAAATTCATCAGGCTGACGTCAGGGAATGGGTGTTGGCTGCAAAAATGCTACTTGTTACAGAAATCTTGATCCGCGTAGATTAAGAAAGCCCTCCAAACCTCAAAGTTCCTCCTAGCGCAAGGATGTTTAGGCGATATTGCGAAGATTCAACTCCGGAGTTGTTGCAAACTTACGGTTGGATTTATTGAATTTTTCAGTCCTTTGCCGATTAGGTGTTTTGCCCAGTTTTTGTGCGGAGTACTTTTACCCGAATTCCCACGGTTAGCGGCCATGGCTTTGCGGCAGTTACTATATACTTCTACTGTGAAGTCGAATCTTTCCCTTTAGGCGCGCGACAGTGCGACGAGCTTGGCACGCCAGAGAGATAGAAGGGAGGGGGATCCGTAAAATGGACATTTCGGGAGAACTATTCACCAAGAGCTAAACTGCTGATTTTTCAGTATAGACGCTCACATTAATCAGCAGCTCTCCTTTTTCGTAAACGAAGTTTCTTACTGAGAGATTTCATTAAGAGTTTAAGAGAGAGCGCTGTCCCTACTACGATACTGCTCACTCGAGTAACTTGGAGCACGAAAAAGTATAGCTATTGAAACCTCGCAAAACAGCAACAACAACAAAAATAATAACAAAAACACCTTACCAAGACAAGTTATAACAGAATACTTTTTATTGTTGATACTGGCTGACGGCTGATTGTGTTTTACTGTGAGTACTGTTCGGCTATGGCACAAAAGCCTTTATCGAGTGGAGGGCAAGTGAGTCTTAGGAGGGTAAGGATAGAGAGCACGGTGCACAGATGCGGGTCCGAGTCCTAACAATAACTTAAGGTTTTCCTAGAACTTCCCAATCTGATTACTTGTGAACCTTCATTGTTTCAGTTGGCAAGTCTTCAAACGTGGTATGGAATGAGAGTGATTCCATTCCTGGCCACTCACGCTGATATGGGAGGAACTCTGAATGAAGCCGTCGACTTTTTGGAAGCTCATCAACGTTTCGTTGACGAAGTTGTGGTGAGCAACTGAACCTTTGGTTCCAGACTTCTTTTCCTTTTTCTTATGGAGGACATTGAAATCTTCGAGGGTTGAAGAGAATTCACGAAGGATGCTATGAAGCCATGGTTACTATTGAAAACTAATTGCAGAATCGTGATGCTTCCGTAACGTCAGCTATGAGCAAGAGGTCAGAGATGACCGGGGTGGAGCGGAAAGCCATGTCAGAATTCGAGGCTCACTACGAGCGGTTGAAGGATGTGCTTGAAAGTCGAATTCGTATTGGAGGCGCCTTCGTTCGAGTAAGATCCCTTCAAAAAGTCATTTGAAGTCCTATTTTGGACGATACACCGTTACAGATGCACAAGTTCGCCAAAGACTTGGAATCTTCCTTCGATGGAATCACGTCGTTGTTGGATACTAACCGCGATTTCACTAACGAAAGGGTCGCCGCTCAAGTTGAGAACGTCTTCCAAATGATCGAGGATACAATGACGCAGGAGAAACATGAGGGTCTGTCTGATGAATTCTACTTCGAGTTGATTTATCTTTGCATAGAATTGATGGGATTTTACAGTGGAACGATTCGTCGCGTCTGCGGAGGCTGTTGCCAGAGATGATGACACCTTGGACGTGACTCGGTCAACACAAGCGGCCAGAAACGTTCTAGTCGACCATGACCACCGATACGTCTACCTGAAACACAAGTGGGCCGAATGGCTTGCCAACAAGGTATGGTTTGTGAGCAGACTCGTGTGCCCCTATGGAATTCCATCATCAAATCTAGCGCCTATATTTCGCTCGCAAGTAGTTGGAGCTTGTCATATGCAAAACACATTTACAACTTGACAACTACTCCATTACTCGAATTGGTAGGAATTGGGTTTTCATGGGTTAATGCTCGATACCATAGAAAATATTGAACACAAGCAACATTGAGCCTCTTAGGTATGGTACAGTGATATTGAAAGCCATTTTTTCTGGGTGCTCGACTGCTTTTTGCGAATTTTACCTATTTTCTCGAAGTTCTCCTTTACTTGTTTTGGGTTTTTTTCGCTGAGTTTAGTAACACTCTGCTGTCCCTTCGGAAGTGCTCTACTCCCTTCGTTCAAGCAGAAAAGTAGCAGAGCAGAAGCAATTCCATAGAACACACAGCTTTACAACCGCCCCCCCCCCCTCCTTCCCCTCCTTCCAGTATCCCTCCTGACTGCTGTTGAATTCTGTACCATCAGTCGGGGAGACTAATATGGACACTCCAGCTGGAAGTCAGATGCAAGGTGCGGGGAGGAGGCATCGTAGAGCTGGGAAAAACTCTCGCCAAAAACTGTTTCCTTCATTGAAGACCTCATCGATCAGCATGGTTCTAACGTTTCAAATCTAAGTGAAATCACAATTATGACTGGCTACTTTTCCAAGTTAGTACTGGAGCTAAACTACAAAAGAGCATAGAAATGCAAATTCATTAACACAGGATGGTCCAGGTGTCAAACAAAACGATCTCCCTTGTTTAGATGTGGATTTTTGATTTTCGAAGAAAATTGCGAGTCTCTACAGAATATTAGTAATTTAAGGAAGAGACGAAGAAAAAAGTGACGGTCATAGAAGAAATAGAAATGTGGCAAGAAGAAACATGGGAGATCATTCGTCTGCTCGAAAACACTAAGACGACAACACTTCAGGTTAGTTGTGAATTGAATGGGCGGGGCGTCGCTGCAATGGCGAAATTTAAAGAAGCAGTCTGAAGATTTGAAATGAGCACCCATCCTATCCTTAAATGTTGTGAAAATTAGCAACAGTCATAGCGTAAAACATTTGCATCAAAAGGTCACCTTTCGTCGTAGTGACTTAGAAAAAATGGGGTCTTGACTGACCACGCAACCCACATTTGCTACCTCAAACCCTTGTACCACCTCAGCCTCTTAGTAGATAGCCTAATAAAAACGGGTATAACAGATGAAATTTCAGGAAACCGAAGGATTACATCGTAGAGTGAAAGAACTACAGCAAACTATCGACCAGCAGACAGAAAAATTGGAGGAGGCAAAGAGAACCACCAAGAGTTCGTTTGTATCGTTTTTCAGCTTCCCCTTTTTCTTGACCACCATGTCCGGTTCAGGTGAGGAACTCACGAGAAGAATCGAAGAACTGATCAAGAGACAGCGAGAAATCAAGGAACGACTAAGCCAACTCGAGAAGAAGGTAAAGCACATTCGTAAGCTCCTATACTTTTTTCAAAATAGGAGTCCTCCATTTGTAATATTCTTGTCTGTGCGTCGCTTGTTTCATAGTTCATAGAACGGCAAGTCTGGTATGCCATACAGCGCAAGTCCCAGTACTAACCGTGAGACCTCTAGCGTGCCAAACTCTCTCATCTTTTCAATGAGTTGCCTAGAATTAGAAAAAGATGTGAGGTGACAGTTAGCGTGCGTTTAATTTAGTATCATCTGCATTTTGAAATCACCGCTGTCGATGCAGTGATTCTATCTGGAAGCATCGAGTCAATTTAACTGAACATATGAACATCGTCGACTATAAAAAATATTTTGCAGGTGGAAACCATTTATGAGTCATTCCTTGAAGAAGAAATTGTTGAGAGAGTCAGGGCTCCACAAATCTTGACGAAGCTCAAGGATGCGCAGGTTGGGCCCTGAAGCTACTTTTTTCATTATCGCTCTGCTAGTAGTATCATTCGAAACAAGCTGTTTTCAGGTGGATGAAGGTAGCCGGTTTGAATTTGTCGCGAGGATTGAAGGTGAACCAGAGCCAAAAATCACGTGAGTTCACTTTTAGTAATGTTCAAAGTCTGGAAAAATAAACAGACGGCCTAGGCCTATTGTCTTGTTGTTTATCTGTGTTTGAAGTAATGCCACATTCCCATTTAACGACTCGTAATACCTTCCCAACTGATTCCCAAAGACAGCCACGAACTGAAGTCTAACGGCACGAGCTCTCTTTAAATAATCTATGTGAAACGGCAAATTTCCTAATCTCAACAACGAGATAACATGACGCTCGCTGCTCAAGAATGCTTTGCTACTGAAATCGCATTAAGATATATGCGCAATAGTAAGTTGTGGGAAGTAGCACTTGAAAATAGAAGCAGAACTGCGAAGTAGATGACCGCTCGTAAAAGACGAAAAAATACACCCAAAATGCTGGAACGATGCTTAGCGTTTCGCGATTGATCTGTAGAAAGTCCCAGAGAAAATAATTCACCTCTCAGCAAGTGCTCTATAGCGAATCTGATGACAGCATATGCTTCATTACTTACTTCTTCTGACGCTTTTTGAGAGCAGAGTTCGCGATAATTTGGGGTATCTAGTTAAGGTGACGACTGGAAGTGATAGTTGGGGATAGGGCAAAGTTGCGAAGAAAGCGGCGTGTTTGGAGAAATATATGGCTTCAAAAAAGTAATAAAATTAGAATTTGGATGAGAATGTGACGACGAAAGTTGCATGGAAGGGGCAAGTGGACTGGCTGTTCAAATAAGTGTGCCATTGCATAGAGCTGGCTATAATAAGATGCCAAGGTGTAAGGTGAGAGGACGCTGATTTCAGTTTTTGCACTTGCTCCAAGAGCTGTCTACATCAAGCCAAAAGTTTCCAAATCTGCTTTACACTTTCGGCATGGGTCACGACTTTCGGCATTGGTCACGACTCGCAACATGGGTGGCTCTTCTGATAGTTCAACCTCTGCAGTGCTGTTGAAACTCGTCCGCCTTCAGGCAGACGTAGCATACAACCGATACTACCTTTGAGCCCTACGCCCTATCAAGCCGTTCATCGATATTAGAGTGCCCCGTGTGGAATGAGGGGAAGCCACAAATTCATCTTAGTAAGCTAACCCAGAAACCGTTTCTACCCTGAACAGTGCTTTTTTACGATAACCTTTGAACCCTTCCCGTACACTCGCTGGACCCTTAACTATGTACGAACATTGAGCGGCGCATAAACTATTAATGGGAGACTATCGCCGTTACTATGAGGATTTTGGTCAGGAAATTCAATTGACTTCTAATCTAGTTTACCTTACTCACGGAGAAGAAAGAGAGGCGCAGACAGTCTTTCTTATTTAGCAGTATAATGTGCCTTTGTTGAAGCTTCCGAAAAGGCTCGGTAATAGTGGCGCTTTAAAAATGGAAGTGTGACTTATTTACAAACCGGGTGAAGCCAATGTGTAGAGGTAACTTTATGTAAACAACATGTGTGATTTCCAATGGTCGTCCAAGGAAGGCTCGATACTAATAGCAATAAGAAAGCTAATTATCGATTAATGGTATAATCAATTAATAGGAAATCTTTAAACGAAAACCTTTTTCAAACAGAAGCTATGCTGTTGGGTAAATTTCACACCCCTCTTTCTCGCTCTCGAGAAAACACTCATGTTGAGAGGTTGACGTAAAGCGCTGGCGCTGTTCTCGGCTCCAGTTCCAGCTGATTTTACCTCTGACCCTGTACAATATTTTCAGATGGCTGAAGGACGGAATAGACGTGAAGAGCAATATCGACTATCGCCAAGACTTTGTGAACGGTGTTGCTAGCCTTGTCATAGAGGTACGAGTTGTTTTAATTGCAAGAACATTATTTTAGTGGACTTCATCTCACTTTGTTGGTCTTTGGAACTTTGTATTTTTCTTTGCAATTGCTCTCTTCGTCGAATGTCTCATAGAATCCCCACAACTATTGTGAATAGGAAATGCTATTCAGGAAACGTTCATTGAAGACACAGCTACCTACACAGTACGCGCTGAAAACATTGGTGGAGTAGCTGAAAGTAGTGCCACATTGACGGTGAAATGTGAGTTTGTGGAAAGATCATTCTCCATTGTTAGCGCGTACCACTGAGGGTATGACCATAGGACTTACTTAGTACCCATGATACGAGATGCTACTGCCATTGAAAAGTAAAGACGACCGCGATATATTTTAGCTCGCTCAGCCATTTCAAGCCTGATGGAAGAAGAAAAGCCCAGATTCATCAAGCAATTGACCAACGTGCAAATAGTCGAGGGAGAGACCGCCGTACTGGACTGTGTGGTCGTTGGCAAGCCGGAGCCCGAAGTGGTGAGTGGAACTACATGGTTTTCTCTCCATCTACGGCATCTAACATCTCAAGAAGTAGGAGTAAAGGGGAGTAGCTGAGCAATGAAAAAGACCCATAAAAGCAAAATCAAAGTAAGATCAGATCTTTGGAATATTCATCATTTGAACAAAAAATCCTGGATGTTGTCGAACTGCCTTGTTTTTTACTTAATGGCTGGTCCCCTACAATATCATGGTTACTGTGGCTTTCTACAGTGATCCCTAAATGAAGTGTAAAATGATTTTTACATTGAAGATCTGGTTCAAAGAAGAACGAACAGTGAAAGAAGACGAGAGGACCCATCTAATGTTCACTGGCGACCACGTTTCTCTTACAATCGAGGATGCAGGTCTCTTTTGCTATCACTACTTTTGCTGGGTGGATAAAACCCAAATCATTGTAGTTATGGTGAATGCTTTCAGTTCCTTCGGACAGTGGAATGTACACGGTCAGAGCCAAAAATGTTCATGGTGAGACGACTGGTTTCTGTCAGCTCAAGGTACATAAAAATTGTTTTTGTTCATAAATCAGGTCCTCAGTTTCAATCAAGTCCAGTTTTCTTTACAAAAAAAGCTTCTGTGGTGGTACACCAGGTATTTGAGTTCAATAGTGTGAAAAGTGTTTTGAGAGGCCGGAAAATCTGTGTAAGCTGGCCATTCAACCGTCACGGCTTGAATGTTCGCTTCGAAATGCGCCATATTTTCAACTTCCATGTGAGCAAAAGCGTGTATGTTTGCTTTGAACTTCGGCCCACCCTTATCACAATACTGATTTCATTAGCAAAAAAGGCGAAATCACCAGGAATTCGTTTGGGGTTACTGCCACTACGAGCTTTCAACGATAGTAGAGGACACTGGTGCATCCAAACCGCTTCAATTGATCGGAGCGGGAGATATACGATGGAAAGCAAAACTTCACTGCAAAGAAATCATTGGAATCTAGAATCCAATGAAATCAAACTGCCTAATTTCATTTGGAAACAGAAGCTGCTTTCTCATCGAGCTGGCGCGTGGTATGAGCCATGGCTTGCGAAAGCGCCTACATCGAATCAGCAGAATGACGATTTCCTCGACAGAATTGTCTAAAATGTTAAGTTCCTCGGAATCACAAAGGAAACCATATTGGGGGTATCATTTATTGAGTCTTCTGCGTTTATGATCTGCCTCTATTGGAATCCTTTCTGAACTGTTGACTGCTACATTCGAAAAAGCTGCACCTGGAGGTAGATGACTGTTGGCCCGCCGCAAAAGGAAATGGCACAAGTGTAAATCGAGGTGTTCGATTGTGTCCCTATTAGGTATTATACNGGCAAGCCGGAGCCCGAAGTGGTGAGTGGAACTACATGATTTTCTCTCCATGTACGGCATCTAACATTTCAAGAAGGAAAAGTAAAGGGGAATGGCTTAGCAATGAAAAAGACCCATAGAAAAGCAGAATCCAAGTAAGATCAGGTCTTTGGGATATTCATCATTTCAACAAAAAATCCTGGATGTTGTCGAACTGCCTTGTTTT